GTGCATCCGTCGAGGCAGCAGTGCCGCGCAATCGCAGGTAAGGAGGGGAGAGAGGGATTGGGTTTGAGGAGTGGGGAAGGGGGGTTATTTGGGTGGAGGGGAGTGCAGAGAGGTTAGGAGGGGTATAGCAGGGGCAAGGAATGGTAAAGCGAGGTAAGCTAGGATAATTCGGGACACACCAAGTGGGATGCAGCAGGGGATGGGTGGAGTGGGGGAGCAGGGGATGGGTGGAGTGGGGGAGCAGGGGATGGGTGGAGTGGGGGAGCAGGGGATGGGTGGAGTGGGGGAGCAGGGGATGGGTGGAGTGGGGGAGCAGGGGATGGGTGGAGTGGGGGAGCAACGGTGAAGGAAGGGGAAGTGCAGGAGCTCGTGGGGGTGTTTTGAGACGTCTCAAAGCAGGAGCTCGTGGGAGTGTTTTGAGACGTCTCAAAGCAGGAGCTCGTGGGGGTGTTTTGAGACGTCTCAAAACAGGAGCTCGTGGGAGTGTTTTGAGACGTCTCAAAGCAGGAGCTCGTGGGGGTGTTTTGAGACGTCTCAAAGAAGGAGCTCGTGGGAGTGTTTTGAGACGTCTCAAAGCAGGAGCTCGTGGGGGTGTTTTGAGACGTCTCAAAGCAGGAGCTCGTGGGAGTGTTTTGAGACGTCTCAAAGCAGGAGCACGTGGGATTGTTTTGAGACGTTCAAAGCAGGAGCTCGTGGGAGTGTGGGAGTTCGTAGAAGTCAATTGGTGGGGTGTGGGAAGTGCGGGGTGGGTGGGATATGAAACGCCATTGGCTTGGCAGCATCGTGTGTTCCTTCGGCTTCCCCGTTTCTCCTCTCTTTGAATCCCTCTCAGGCAGCCCAGCATCCTCAGCAGCGGAGGAGGGCGAGTGGTACGACGAGATAATGACAAGGGCGGGGCGGGGCATGCGTGCTGCAAAGCTTAGACCCTCACCCTCGTTCCCTGAATCTCTGCTTCTGCCCTCCTCCTCCTCCTCCTCCTTCCATGCATTCCCAGGCAATCCTTCATTCCCAGCGGTGGAGGAGGGCGAGCAGTACGATGTGATAGTGATAGGGGCGGGGCACGCGGGGTGCGAGGCAGCATTGGCGTCCGCCAGGCTGGGCGCCAGGACGCTGCTACTCACACTGTCCCTTGACAAGATCGCATGGCAGGTGGGTGGGCTTGTTGGTCAAGCCAAGGGTTTTGGGCTCACCATGTGTTATCGGCCAGGCTGGGCGCCAGGACGCTGCTACTCACATTGTCCCTTGACAAGATCGCATGGCAGGTGGGTGCGATAGTCAACCAAGGGTTCTGGGCTTACGTCAGGGGTTGCTCCCAGCGTCAGGGGTTGCTCAGCTCAGATCAGTGTTTGTTCATTCATTCATTGGACAGGCTGGGAGCCTGTCCAATGACGCTGCTCCTCACTCATTCCCCTCCCCTCCCCTCCCTTCTTTCCTTTCCCCCCATCTCCTGCCTGCCACCCGTGCAATGCAAGCCACCCAGCAGCAGTGGGGGTTGTGCTTGTGATTTCTTCCCTCACCGCTTTCGTTTCCCTCCATTCCTCTATCCCCTTCCCCTCTTCCGTACCATTCACTGCTGCAGCCGTGTAACCCCGCAGTGGGAGGCCCTGCTAAGTCACAGCTAGTGCATGAGACAGATGCTCTGGGGGGGGAGATTGGCAGGATGACAGACAGGTGAGCAGGCAGGGCAGGGCAGGGCAGGGCAAGGTGAGTCTGGTTGGAAGGTATGATTGCGTCTTGGCTCTTAACAGACAGGTGAGCAGGCAGGGTTGGTGGGTGGGTGGGTGGGTGGGTGGGTGGGTGGGTGGATAGGCGAGCAGGTGGGGTTGATTGGTGAATATGGTGGGGGTTGCTGTCAAAGGTAAACAGGTGGGCTGCGGAGGTCTGATGTCCATCAACTTAAACGAATATTGTTTCACTGGGCGAGTATTCGTTTCATTGGGCGAGTATTCGTTTCACTGGGCGAGTATTCGTTTCATTGGGCGAGTATTCGTTTCAGTGGGCGAGTATTCGTTTCATTGGGCGAGTATTCGTTTCAGTGGGCGAGTATTCGTTTCAGTGGGCGAGTACTCGTTTCAGTGGGCGAGTATTCGTTTCATTGGGCGAGTATTCGTTTCATTGGGCGAGTATTCGTTTCATTGGGCGAGTATTCGTTTCAGTGGGCGAGTATTCGTTTCAGTGGGCGAGTATTCGTTTCATTGGGCGAGTATTCGTTTCATTGGGCGAGTATTCGTTTCAGTGGGCGAATATTCGTTTCAGTGGACGAGTATTCGTTTCAGTGGGCGAGTATTCGTTTCAGTGGGCGAGTACTCGTTTCAGTGGGCGAGTATTCGTTTCATTGGGCGAGTATTCGTTTCATTGGGCGAGTATTCGTTTCAGTGGGCGAGTATTCGTTTCAGTGGGCGAGTATTCGTTTCAGTGGGCGAGTACTCGTTTCAGTGGGCGAGTATTCGTTTCAGTGGGCGAGTACTCGTTTCATTGGGCGAGTACTCGTTTCAGTGGGCGAGTATTCGTTTCAGTGGGCGAGTACTCGTTTCATTGGGCGAGTATTCGTTTCAGTGGGCGAGTATTCGTTTCAGTGGGCGAGTACTCGTTTCAGTGGGCGAGTATTCGTTTCATTGGGCGAGTATTCGTTTCATTGGGCGAGTATTCGTTTCAGTGGGCGAGTATTCGTTTCATTGGGCGAGTATTCGTTTCAGTGGGCGAGTATTCGTTTCAGTGGGCGAGTACTCGTTTCAGTGGGCGAGTATTCGTTTCATTGGGCGAGTATTCGTTTCATTGGGCGAGTATTCGTTTCATTGGGCGAGTATTCGTTTCAGTGGGCGAGTATTCGTTTCAGTGGGCGAGTACTCGTTTCAGTGGGCGAGTATTCGTTTCATTGGGCGAGTATTCGTTTCATTGGGCGAGTATTCGTTTCATTGGGCGAGTATTCGTTTCATTGGGCGAGTATTCGTTTCATTGGGCGAGTATTCGTTTCAGTGGGCGAGTATTCGTTTCATTGGGCGAGTACTCGTTTCAGTGGGCGAGTATTCGTTTCAGTGGGCGAGTACTCGTTTCATTGGGCGAGTATTCGTTTCAGTGGGCGAGTATTCGTTTCAGTGGGCGAGTACTCGTTTCAGTGGGCGAGTATTCGTTTCAGTGGGCGAGTATTCGTTTCTTTGGGCGAATACTGGTTTGGGCGATCATTCCTGTTTGCTTCACCAGCGTTGTTGCTCACACATTCGCACTGTCTCGTCTCCCGGGTGCAGACGCATTTGCTTCACCAGTTGCTTGGGGGCCAACTTAATCAATCAGTGCTTACTCCGCCCCAACCCCCCCGTCTCCGCCCACCTTTTCCCACCCCTCCCCACTCCTCTCGACCCCTCCCCACCCCTCGTCCACCCCCCAGGTGCTACGTGCAGAAGCGAGTGCTGAACCGGTCGCGGGGGCCAGCGGTGTGGGCTTTAAGGGCGCAGACAGACAAGCGGGAGTACAGCGAGGAGATGCGCAAGGTGGTGGAGAAGTGAGTGAGTGGGTGGGGGGGGGAAGGTTTGTGGTCACTGACTGACAGGTGCTCTTTTGTTGTGCCTCAAAAGACAGGTGCATGTTGAGTTGAGGCACCCCACTATAAACTCTGTTGCCACGGCTTTTAAATTTCTCCGACCGTTTTCCATGGCTTCCAGTTCCCTGTCTGTCCCCGCCCCGCGTTTCTGTCTCCCCAGCAAGGTGACTTTTGACTTGCCTCAAAAGTCACCTCATTTTGAGTCGTCTCAAAAGTCAGTTCCCTGTCTGTCCCCGCGTTTCTGTCTCCCCAGCAAGCCATGACTCAACCCTATCCGTTCGAGAGGCCATGGCAAAAGAGATCGTATGGGCCGCCTCTCTTTTGCGCGTCATTTGAGGCGCCTCAAAAGTCGTCAGAGATTATAGTGGCCGCCTCTCTTTTGTCCGTCCGGAGCCCAGCGACAGCGTGCAGTGCAGGGCGGGCGTGTGTGTTGTTTCTCTTCATGGAAATCACTTTTGAGAATTGTGCAGTGCAGGGCGGGCGTGTGTGTTGTTTCTCTTCATGGAAATCACTTTTGAGAATTGTGCAGTGCAGGGCGGGCGTGTGTGTTGTTTCTCTTCATGGAAATCACTTTTGAGAATTGTGCAGTGCAGGGCGGGCGTGTGTGTTGTTTCTCTTCATGGAAATCACTTTTGAGAATTGTGCAGTGCAGGGCGGGCGTGTGTGTTGTTTCTCTTCATGGAAATCACTTTTGAGAATTGTGCAGTGCAGGGCGGGCGTGTGTGTTGTTTCTCTTCATGGAAATCACTTTTGAGAATTGTGCAGTGCAGGGCGGGCGTGTGTGTTGTTTCTCTTCATGGAAATCACTTTTGAGAATTGTGCAGTGCAGGGCGGGCGTGTGTGTTGTTTCTCTTCATGGAAATCACTTTTGAGAATTGTGCAGTGCAGGGCGGGCGTGTGTGTTGTTTCTCTTCATGGAAATCACTTTTGAGAATTGTGCAGTGCAGGGCGGGCGTGTTGTCACAAGTTGTTTCTCTTCTCATTCTCTCATGGTCCCTCCCCAATCACCCTTTCCTGTCTTCCTCCCCTTTCTCATCCGTGCCTGCATTTCGTTCTCCACACGTTGTTCTCCCCACCACGCCCAGACTATATGTCTGAGAGGTTCGGTTCCATGACAAGAGAGCTGATAGTCAGTCCAAACAACAACGTGCGGAGCGTGCGGAATTCGGTTTTGTTAGAAATAACCACCGCCTCTGCGGTCTTGACAGACTATCTGTCTGCCCCTGTCCCCCCTCTCCTCCCTATCCCCCCTCTCCTCCCTCAGCACACCCAACCTGTTCATCCGAGAGGCCATGGCGACAGAGCTCATAGTGGGCCCAAACGACAACGTGCAGGGCGTGTGTGTTCTCCCTAATCATCCTTTCCTGTCTTCTTCTTGCCCCTTCCCCTGTCCTGTCCCCCCGCGTTTCGTTCTCCACATGTTGTTTCCCTCAGCACGCCCAATCTGTTCATCCGAGAGGCCATGGCAACAGAGCTCATAGTGGGGCCAAACGACAACGTGCAGGGCGTGCGGACGTTCTTTGGAGTGGACTTTCTGGCCAAGGCTGTTGTGCTCACCACAGGTACGTGGATGTTGGTGAGTATAGGCGAGTTGGTGGTGATATCAGCTGAGTGCTCTCAGAGGTACTGACTGAGCCGCTACGTGCAGGGCGTGCGGACGTTTTTTGGGGTGGACTTTCTGGCCAAGGCTGTCGTGCTCACCACAGGTGGGTGGGTATGGGCGGGGTCGTGTTTACAGGCGAATGGGTGGTGAGAGCAGCTGCGTGCTCTCAGGCTCAGAGGTAGTGACTGATACCCAACGTGCAAGGAGTGCGGACGTTCTTTGGGGTGGACTTTCTGGCCAAGGCTGTCGTGCTCACCACAGGTAGGTACGTTGGGGTGGTTGTAGACTCGTAAGTGCTTCTCCCAGTCCCACGCAGGTGTTTTGAGACGTCTCATGTTTTGAGACGTGTATTGGGACATGTGTTGGGACGTGTATTGGGACGTGTATTGGGACGTGTATTGGGACGTGTGTTGGGACGTGTATTGGGACGTGTATTGGGACGTGTATTGGGACGTGTGTTGGGACGTGTATTGGGACGTGTATTGGGATGTGTATTCGGACGTGTATTGGGACGTGTGTTGGGACATGTATTGGGACGTGTATTGGGACGTGTATTGGGACGTGTGTTGGGACGTGTATTGGGACGTGTATTGGGATGTGTATTTGGACGTGTATTGGGACGTGTGTTGGGACATGTATTGGGACGTGTATTGGGACGTGTATTGGACGTGTGTTGGGACGTGTATTGGGACGTGTATTGGGACGTGTATTGGGACGTGTATTGGGACGTGTATTGGGACGTGTATTGGGACGTGTATTGGGACGGGTTTTGAGACGTTGGGGTGGTTGTAGACTCGTAAGTGCTTCTCCCAGTCCCACACAGGTTTCAGAGTAGGGTGGTGGTTGGAATGGGATGAGTGCAGACTTTTCAGACGTCTCAAAAGTCTCCCACGCAGGTTTAAGAGCAGTTTGGTGCTTGGGAGCAGATAGCAGCTGTTTCTGGAGAAATCTTTTGAGTCGACTCAAAAGCAGATAGCAGCTGATTCTGGAAAAAACTCAAGAAACAGCTCTCTCAGCAGTCAGAGCATGCGAGGGAGCATCCCATGACATAACCAAACACTTCCTTCCTTTCGTTTCCAATCCCCCCCTCTTTCCCGTCATCCCCTCCCTCTCTCCGCACCTCCTCTCTCTTTGCTTCAAATAGCTCCCTCTCTCCTGTCGTCTCCTTCCCCCTGCCATCTCCTTCCTCCTGTTATCTCCTCTTTAGCCTCATATCCTCCCCATCTGAGTGATTTTTGAGAATTCTCAAATATCCTCCCCGTCTGCCGTCCTCCATGCACATTTATGAACAGTCGCATCTGAATAAAAAAGTTTCTCCCAGCAGGCAGAGCAGGGGAAGACGCCCCCTACTAGCCAACAGGGCACGTCCCCTCCCTCAGAGCTCCAATAGTCCTCTCCACCCTCACCTCTTCCTTATCTTCCTTGCACCAGGTACATTCATGAACGGTCGCATCTGGGTGGGACGGCAGTCCCTCCCAGCAGGCAGAGCAGGGGAAGACGCCCCCTACTAGCCAACAGGGCACGTCCCCTCCCTCAGAGCTCCAATAGTCCTCTCCACCCTCACCTCTTCCTTATCTTCCTTGCACCAGGTACATTCATGAACGGTCGCATCTGGGTGGGACGGCAGTCCCTCCCAGCAGGCAGAGCAGGGGAAGACGCCCCCTACTAGCCAACAGGGCACGTCCCCTCCCTCAGAGCTCCAATAGTCCTCTCCACCCTCACCTCTTCCTTATCTTCCTTGCACCAGGTACATTCATGAACGGTCGCATCTGGGTGGGACGGCAGTCCCTCCCAGCAGGCAGAGCAGGCGAGGGTGCCTCCCTTGGCCTCACCGAGTACCTCCTCTCCCTCGGCTTCGAATCCGACCGTCTAAAAACCGGCACCCCCCCGCGGATCGACATCCGGACCGTCGATTTCTCTCGACTAGCAGAGCAACCAGGGGACGACCCTGAAGCTGACGGTGTGGGGGAGCGGTGGTTCAGCTTTGATGAGAGCGTGTGGAGGCGGAGGGAGCAGATGAGCTGCTGGTTGACCCGCACAACAGCGGAGACCCATCGGCTGGTGGAGGCGAGTTTGCATGAGACGCCCACGTATGGCGGCTGGGTGGACGGCCGCGGACCACGCTACTGCCCCAGCATCGAGGACAAGGTGAGGAGGAAGGGGGGGAGGGCCGGGGGTGGCGCGTGTGTGTGTGTGTGTGTGCCCCTTCCTCCCCCCTCCTCCCCCCTCCTCCCCCGTGCTGCCCCGCCCTGCCCCCTCGTGCTCCCTCCTGCCGCATCCGTGCCCTGCTGCCGATCTCCTTGGATCCCAGTGGCTGAGTCGCCTCCTCAGTCGCCTCCTCCTCTGACTCCTTCTACCTCCTGCTGTCCCCGGTTCCTCCGTGTCTGTGTGTCTGTCTGTCTCTCTGTCTGTCTGTACATGCAGATAGTGCGGTTCAAGGACAAGGAGTCACACCAGATCTTCCTAGAGCCTGAGGGTCGAACCGTGCCAGAGCTCTACGTGCAGGTGGGCATACCAGTGGGTTAGGATGGTGGGTGGGTGGGGGGGGGGGCAGGTGGGTGGGTGGGGGGGGGGGGGGGGAGGTGGGTGGGTAGGTGTGTGGGTGGGCGGATGGGTGGGTGGATGGGCAGGTGGGTGGTGGGGTGAGTGCTGCTGGCTTTCCAGCGCTGTGCCATGCTGAGGCCTGCCTATGCAGTGGAATATGGCTGCCTGCCTATGCAGTGGAGTATGGCTGCCTGCCTATGCAGTGGAGTATGGCTGCCTGCCTATGCAGTGGAGTATGGCTGCCTGCTTATGCAGTGGAGTATGGCTGCCTGCCTATGCAGTGGAGTATGGCTGCCTGCCTATGCAGTGGAGTATGGCTGCCTGCCTATGCAGTGGAGTATGGCTGCCTGCCTATGCAGTGGAGTATGGCTGCCTGCCTATGCAGTGGAGTATGGCTGCCTGCCTATGCAGCGGAGTATGGCTGCTTGCCTATGCAGCGGAGTATGGCTGCTTGCCTATGCAGCGGAGTATGGCTTCTTGCCTATGCAGCGGAGTATGGCTGCTTGCCTATGCAGCGGAGTATGGCTGCTTGCCTATGCAGCGGAGTATGGCTGCTTGCCTATGCAGCGGAGTATGGCTGCCTGCCGGCATACCAGTGCTGTTTCTCTCAAACGGTCCTTTGTATTGATTGAGAGGTACAGACATGCAATGATACCCTGGCGTTACTGCGCTCCCTACCCGGTTCGGAGCGTTATGTGCCATTCCATGCCATACTGAGACCCGCGTATGCTGTGGAGTATGACTACTTACCGGCCTACCAGTCCTGTATCTCACTCTCATTTTACCCCTCTTGACCCCTCCACACCCCTCTGCGTCCCATCACCCTCCAGGGATTCTCCACCGGCCTGCATGAAGTAGCCCTGCTTCGCTCTCTCCCCGGCTTGGAGTGCTGTTCAATGCTAAGACCTGCATACGCTGTGGAATACGACTGCCTGCCAGCCTACCAGTGCTTTCTCTCCTTTATACCCTCTGCACCCCTCTGCACTCCAGGGGTTGTCCATGGGCCTACCAGAGCGCCTGCAGCTGGCGTTATTGCGCTCCCTCCCCGGCTTGGAGCGCTGTTCGATGCTGAGACCTGCCTACGCCGTGGAGTATGACTACCTGCCGGCGTACCAGTGCCGTGTCTCACTCTCATGTACCCCTCCTCACCCCACTGCACCCATCATCCTCCAGGGGTTCTCCACGGGTCTACCAGAACGCCTGCAGCTGGCACTACTTCGCTCCCTACCAGGCTTGGAGCGTTGTTCCATGCTGAGGCCTGCCTACGCTGTGGAATACGACTACCTGCCGGCGTACCAGTGCCAACGCACCCTCATGACCAAGAAAATTGAGGGGCTGTTTTTTAGCGGGCAGATCAACGGCACGACTGGATACGAGGAGGCTGCTGCTCAGGTAAGCTGGCAGCCAACATGCGTGGTTGCGTTGCACCCATGCTCCCTTCACTCACTACACAGGTTTATTTTCTTGTTCAAGTAAGTGGTGCGTTGATGTTCCACTGCTCGATGCCGAGCAGCTCTATTGTGTTCTTGCCGAGAAGCTCAAAGTGGGCTCGATTGCAGCGAGCCATTTGGAAAATCTCGGCAAATTCTCTTGCTGGTGCAATCTGCTCCTTCCCTTGCAACCTGCGTCTTCCTTTTCGTTGCAGGGGCTGATTGCAGGGATCAACGCGGCCAGGCTGGCGGATGGGAAGCCGTTGATTGCACTGGAGAGGGAGAGCAGCTACATCGGCACTCTCATTGATGACTTGGTGACCAAGGACTTGAGAGAGCCGTACCGCATGCTGACAAGGTAGGTCCAATCAGGGTGGAAAATTTCGCTTAGCGAAATATTCGGACAGAAACTTTCGGTCGTAAATTTCGCCCGTTTTTGTAATAATTTGGAAAAAGAAAAGAAAAGAAAGAAAGAAAAAAACAAACAAACAAACAAACAAACAAAGAAACAAACAAACAAACAAACACCTACAACAACAATGCACACATATGCGCACAGGCATATGCACACACAGGGAACAAGCGCCTGATCGTTGTAAGTGTTGTCCTGAATCTGCCCTTCAGAAGCCCAAGAAGCACACAATGAGTACTCTCTCTAGAACTCATCATCTGATGCCTCACTAGAACCTGATCCACTGTCCCCATCACTGATATCCCAAGCATTGGAGCCATAGACCCTCTCCTTGGGTTCTTGAGCTGCGCTGTCATCACTTCCACTTTCAGCCTCCTCTTCTTCCACCTCCTCCTCAGCCCCCTTCCCTTTCCCCTTGCTAGAGGTCTGGGTCTTCTTTGATCGCTTGTTTTGGCTGCTTTTGGAGGTCTTCTTCTTCTTCCTTCCCGAGGAGCCGAAAGCCCCCCAATTGATGGTACAAACAGCCACATCTTCGTCCTCCTTCTCGCCCTGCACCAAGCTTGGACCAGCCTGAGGTTGCTTTTGAGTCGACTCAAAAGTCTTCTCCACAGGGTTCTCCTTAAGCTTTCCTGCAGCCAGGTCAGCAAAAAGCTGCCTGCGGACCTCAGTGTCTTTGTCAAACGCGGCCCGTGAGCGCCTGGAGAAGGCCACCCATGTCACGTCGATCATGGTCTGCGCATTGAGCCGGTTGCGGTCGCGCCGCTGCACCCTGTTCATTGCAGACCAGCACCTTTCCACCTCTGATGCGGTCACAGGCTGGGACAACACCTTGACCGCCAGGTGCTGAAGAACACTAACCTCCCCTCCGTACATGCTCCACCACTCGGCGTCCGAGAGACGTCCGCTCTCAACAAGTACGGATGCTGCCCATCGTGCATCCTCCCCACCCAGCTGGCCCACCCCCTTGTGGTACATGGAAAGCTGCACTTGGAGGAGGATGCGCTTCTGCACGTCGCCACACAATGCCTCCATCACTTTGTTGAGACCCCTTATGATCTCCGGGTCGTTCTGAACTTCCTCGGCACACTGGATCTTCGGATTCAGCAGCCAGCCAACAGTGTGAAGAGGGTTGTGCAACATGCGGTCCCATCGGGACGCAATGATGTCCTTGTTCTTGCTCAAGAAAGACCCTTTGTCTTTTGCTTCTAGCAAAGGAGTGCGCCGAACAAAGAAGGCAGCTGCAGGTAGACGGGGATGGACAGCAAGTAGAAATCAATCAGAAACGAATGTTATGGGTGGTCGGGACGGGCTGCTTGGGCAAGAGCAAGTGTGCAGCGTGAGGAGGGAAAGTATGGGGTGCTATTTACACCATGCAGCCACCCAACTCCTTAGTGGCCAGCATGTGTCCAATGGTGAGTAGGGAAGGGAGTAAATGCAATGAGCTTGGTTAAAACGGACAGCGGTTGGAAATTGGAAGGGGTGCAAGTGGGTACGGGACAGCATGTGGGGAGCGCATTATGAATGGATTCCATACCTGCCTTTTCAGCTGCTGCGTTGATCTTCACCATGGCCTCAAGCATCTTTCCATAGATGCTTCCCATTATGACCGAGCGCTTGTCAACGGCGCGAAACACATCGTACACGGGCAACATGATGGCCAGGACGTTTGACACCGTCTCCCAAAATCTGTCCTCGAGCAATAGCTCCCGGATTCGCTTCCCATCGTCGGTCTTAGAAGCTGCCACATCCTTCCACTGCTCGCTTATAATCATCTCCCGCAGTTCCTTCTTCACCTCCAAGAATCTGGTGAGCATGATTACCTGAGTCCCAAACCTCGCAGCCCCCGGGCGCACGAGCTCCAACTTAGAAAAGAGCTCCCGAAAGAGAGTGACAGCACTTGCGCTGGGCTTCACCAGCATAACAGCACTGTTCACCTGGTTGAGCACCCGTTTCACAATGTCAATACCGCCTATGTCATGAAGCATCAAGTCAAGGCAATGGGCGGCGCAGTTTGTAAAAAAATGGAAGGATACTCCTGTTCCAGCATGGCAGCAGCGCTCTTGTTGTTGCTGGCATTATCCATGGCCACCTGGACGACCTTCTTGTCGCCCACCTTGCATATGGCCGTCTGAATCAGCTGAGACAAGTATGTGAGGACCGGTCTTCGTTGTCGTATTAGAGTCGACCATGTCCACCAAGACGGGTGCAGTGTCGTTCTGCCCAATAATGCATATGAGCCTGCGACTCTTCATGCACGACCACCCGTCAATGGATAGGGTGCAACCAGTGGAGGCCCACGAGCCTTTCAAGGGCTGCACAAGAGTCTGAGTCTCTGCCTTGAGCTTGTCTAGCAGCGGGCCCCGAACCATGTAGGCGGATGGCACCTTGTACGGCTTCCCAAACTCCACAAGGGCGTCCACAAATTTCTGGACTGACATAGAACTGAAAGGTTCATAGAGAGGGATAAGAGCAGACGGAGATGTTGCTGGATGTACGTTGACACCACATCAAAAGGGCGTCAAGCAACAACATGTGCATGATTTAAAAGGACTCGGCCAATGTTGCACTCACTGTGAAACACGGAAGGCCCGATCGTTGTCAGCCACGGCCGTCATCCAAAGGAGATCCAAGTGCTCTCTCCCTCTCCCGTCGGTTACATCTCGTATGTCAAGCTGACGGGTCCGCACTCTGCCGCCATTAACGGTAGACATGGAACCCTCGCCCGAACCGGGGCTGTTGTTGTTGTTGCTGGTCGTGGGCTCGCTTTCCTTCTTAGCACGAAGGTTCCGTGCAAACTCCAACGGGCAAGTAGTGACGTTTTTAGACCCTTTTGGAGCGCCGTAAAGATGCTCCGAAATCCGAGTAGCGTTAGCTACAATCACCATGTGACAGTGGACGCACTCCATGCGGACTGTGTTTCCTTCCTTGTCTGTAATCTTAATAACGTGATCCCACAGAGGAGAGAGAGGTCTAGGCATGATGAGAGGCGTCTTAGGCAGAATATTAGTACTACTAGTCAATCGGAATACTTCTTGAAGAATGTGGATCTATAGATGGAGAAAACGAATTTGGGACCAGTGAATTTGAACGCTTTCAAAGTGCTAGTTGATTGAGTCGATGGTTGATTGAGTCGATGGTTGCGACCAGTGAATTTGAAAGCTCTATGCTTGTGTGTCTGGTTTTCGCGCTCAGACTTTCTGGATCTGGTGCGTCAAGTAAAAATTTGGATGAGCGCAAGAATCCCTCCACAAAACGGTCACGAGTCGTTTCGCCACGCCACGGGAAAACGATTTTTGGTTTTGCGACTCCGTTTCACACCTCAATAGTGATCAGTATGGGAGGGCGAAATTCGAGTTTGTGATGTAACAAACATCGCTAGCTCTGAATTGGATGCGCATCGCGGAATCCTGAATCAGATCGGTCTCTGAGCATTTGACTGGGCACAAGTGAGCAGTGAATCTGGACCACACCCTGTCACAAACTACAATTTCACTTTGCGCAAACAATGTTCTGTCACAATCCATTTCGACAGTGCTGCAGACATTGTACTTCGTTGAAACGCCAAGTTTAGGGTTCCCGGTTTCAAATTTTCGCCCGCAAATTTCGGTCGCAATTCCGCAAAATTCTGTCGCAATTTTCCACCCAAATTGTCATCATTAAATCTGCCAAAATTATCGAAAATTTTGCGCGAATCTTTCGATAGCGATTTTTTCGCCAAAAATCTGAAAATTTCGCCGCAATTTTGCTCCCTGGGTCCAATGGTTGGGCTTGGTGGTAAAAAACCTAGAATGAGTGTGTGCAGTGCAGTGCAGTGCGGTGCGTGACTTCTGGTGTGACTGCTGCGAGGCTTGAGGGGGAGAGCAGCTACGTCTGCACCCTCATTGATGATGTGGTGACCAAGGACTTGAGGGAGCCATACCGCATGCTCACCCAGTAGGTGGGAATTCATTAGAAGCAGACAGACATCTGCTGACTGCAAGGCTTGAGAGAGAGAGCAGCTATATGGGCACACTGATCAATGACCTGGTGACCAAGGACTGTTTTTTGAGAATTCACAAAAAACTGACCTGGTGACCAAGGACTGTTTTTTGAGAATTCACAAAAAACTGACCTGGTGACCAAGGACTGTTTTTGGAGAATTCACAAAAAACTGACCTGGTGACCAAGGACTGTTTGAAATGCACAAAAAACTGACCCGGTGACCAAGGATTGTTTTTGGAGAATTCACAAAAAACTGACCTGGTGACCAAGGACTGTTCACAAAAAACTGACCTGGTGACCAAGGACTGTTTTTTGAGAATTCACAAAAAACTGACCTGGTGACCAAGGACATGAGCAAGCCTTACTGCATGCTCATCGGGTAGGGAGGAGAGAGGTGAAGTGTAGTCGACACAAAATTGCCGCATACTGACTAAATAAGTCCCGGCTGCTGCTGCTGCTGAGACCGATGGGGCGGGAGATAGGGCTGATTGACGACCGCCAGTGGGGCATGATTGACTCAAACTCATCTCTTCCTCCCTTGCCTCGTGCGCCTCGTGCATCCTCCCCATTCCGTCCCGTGCTCTCCCCTCCATCCGTTCAGAGTTCCGGCTGCTGCTGCGGTCAAACAATGCGGATGTACAGCAGACCCCCATGGGGGGCGGGAGATGGGATGCATTGACGACCATCAGAGGGGCATGCTTGAGTCAACTCATCTCCTTCCTCCCTTGCCCGTGCCTTCCTCCTCCCTACTCAATCCCTTCCTTCCCCCCAGCCGTTCGGAGTTCCGGCTGCTGCTGCGATCCGATAATGGTGACGTGCGGCTGACACCCATGGGGAGGGAAATCGGGCTGATTGACAACCGCCGGTGGGGCATGTCTGTCAACTCATCCCTCTCCTCCCTTGCCCCTTCCCACTCCTTCCTCTGCAGCCGTTCAGAGTTCCGGCTGCTACTGCGATCAGACAATGCTGACGTTCGCCTCACACCCATGGGGCGGGAGATCGGGCTGATTGACGACCGCCGGTGGGACATGTATTTGGCGAGACAGGCGAGGATGGACGCTGAGAAAGAGAGGCTCAAGCGGTACAAGCTGGCAGGTGGGTAAGAGGTAGGACAGGCTCTGATGCATCTCGTTATAATATATATGTATATATATACATATACATATGTATATAAAAATACATCTACAAATATGTATGTATATATATATATATGTATATAGAAATTACCAGCTCGCGACTGTTGAAGTACTTTGCTTGCAATACTTGTACTTGTTGACGCAAGTGTGTTTTGCGTTGCTAGAAATGCATCTCCGTGCGTTGTTTCCCCGTGCATCCCCCAACCCTCCCAGCCTCACACCCAGCCATCCCGGCAATAGAGCAGCTGTCAGGCGCAGTGCGGCACGGCACAACGCTGGATCAGATCCTCCGCCGTCCGCACGTCACCTACCGCCTCTTCAGAGACCTCAGCCTCATGGGCGCCCCTCCCCCCCTCTCCTCCTCTGGCTCTGTCTCTGGCTCGGAAGCTGAATCTGGTTCGGAAAGCGGTTCGGAAGGTGGTTCGGAGGCGGTGGGGGAGTGGGGGGAGGGAGGGGCGGTGGTGTCGGCATGGGAGGCGGAGTGTGTGGAGGTGGAGCTGAAGTATGAGGGGTTCATTCAGAGGCAGAAGCAGCAGCTGGAGCAGGTGATAGCCAAGGAGCACCGCCGCATTCCCGAGGACATTGACTACGACTCCATTGCCACCATCTCCAAGGAGGCCCGCGAGAAGCTCTCCAAGGTACGTGCTTGTAACTGGTAATTTTTTTGTTGACTCAAAAGTCAAGGAGCACCGCTGCGTTCCCGAGGAGATTGACTACGATTGGATGGCCACCATCTCCAAGGAGGCCCGCAAGAAGCTCTCCGAGGTACAAGGTTGTACCTCCTCTGTCTCATCTTCTTCTTCCTTGCTTTCTTTCGTTTGACTTCTCTTTCCCCTATTCTGGTGACGTAACCAGTGTTTTATATATATATATATATATATATATATATATATGTAACCAGTGCTAATCGTGGTGATGTCACCCGTGGATACACGTGCACTGTCTTGTACCGTATCATACTTCGTCCTGGCATGTGTACACATGTGTCAAACATGTGTGCTCGTTCTCTTATGCTCCCTCATACCGTAATCCCCCGTATATTAGACCCTAGGGTCTTATGATTATCACCCCTAAAAAGGCTGGGGGGTATAATTAAATGGTGTATTTTTTATAAGACCCGGGTCTTGTCATTTTGACATTTATAAGAATGTAGATTTAGAGCTCAAAGAAGTGATTTGTAATTGCTCCGTTTTTAGCTCCTCCCAAAAATACTCGAATTGGTCTCCACACGGGCCGAACCCACGTCATCACGAACCCTATCTGGGAGCCTCCTCCCCTTGGTGTTCACACGACATCGCAGGGCACCGTTTGATGGCCCAGCGCGCAGTGTCGCCTCGCCCTTCACACCCCATGCACGCTTCGTGTGGGCTGCACATGGGTGTGCATGTGCGTTCATGTGTGTGATTTCTCTAAATCAACATGGAATATGACAATTTTCACTTGCATTTTCGTAAAATCCACACTTCTCTAGGATGTGGGGGGGGGGGTCTTATAATGTTAGGAGCCATTTAGGGGGGTGTAACTCAGATGTACTCGAATAGAGTACCCAGGTCCGTATTATAGACCCGGGGGTCTACAACTGGGGGGGGTCCTATATACGGGGGATTACGGTATCTTGATGCCCACCTGCTGTTTTACTGCAGATTCGCCCAGCCACCATCGGGCAAGCGTCTAGACTGGGTGGGGTCAACCCTGCTGACATCACGGCTCTGCTCATTTTCCTGGAAGTGCAGCGCCGGAAGAAACTAACGGCAAATGGAACCATGCCAACTCGGCCTGGTGGTGTGGAGAACGGTGTCATTGATGGTGGTGCATTAATGTCGAGTGAGCCGGCGGTTGCAGTTGTAAATGCAGATGGTTGAGTTGTGGGGGTGGCGCAGCGCTGCATGGTTATGTGAACCGATGGACAAGTCTATTCAAATTGAATTTCTGCTGCTTCATGAAAAAAGATTTAGTGGCTAAGGATGACCATTCTTGGTGACAAGTGGTAATATATCAATGAAGAACGTTCAGGCTTTTGATTTGCTTATAAGATGAAAATGCTGTCCACCAATTTGAGTAATGGTCTGAGGAGTCCCATTGGTTGTGTGGAATCTGACAGCGACATAGGTGTGTCAGAGAGTCGAGCCGCCTGCCAATCGAACGGTGATTCGTGCCGCATCGGGGCATGGTTGATGTGATGAACGAAGTGGAGCGGACAACAGAAAGCGGAACAAGTGTGTCAGGACTCAGGGGGGTCATTGTCTGGTCATGCATACAAGTGACCCAAGCTAGCAGGGTGACGGATGCATGTGATTCACGGAACAAAAGATTTCAGCCAGCAACAAAACCCACTTCAGTTTCCGGCATCATACACTATCGCTGTGAAATCCCGTTCCCTTGCTCCTTCAGGTCAAGTATCTGCTCATCCTAACACCGCGGGAAATCCCGTTCTTTTTTCCTTCACCTAGAATTATGGCCGAAGAGTGTGTTGCAACCGTCGAGGTTCAGTATGTTCCAACTGAGGAACTTCAGCCCGTTGAAGATTTGGAGAGCGTCCTTGCCGTAAGTTAGCTAGCGCACTGCCAGCATTGGAATTAGTTTCAAATGGCGAATATTTTATTCATTGGTGATGTTATTCACGCGTGCAGGGTATTGGGGCGAAGCTTGAATCGAAAGACTGGTTCGTGGTTTGCGAGGGGCTTATCGAACTCCGGAGGGTTGCGAAGTTCAACAGCGAACACCTGACCGAAAGACTGTATGTGGCTGAACAACCGTGACCCTTTTCTATTCCCTCTTGTTTTTTCGAACGTGCCTGGAGCTCGTCGCGGAAGCCTAACCCATTTGACATGTGTTGGCGACTGCAGCGAATCCTATTTTGATCCGATGCTGAAGTCCCTGAAGAACCCCAGGAGCGTTCTCAGAAAGACACTATGGATGACCTTGGAGGACCTGTTTAGGTTCAACACGACGTGCATGGAAGGGTCGCTTGAATCCTTGGTACGTTATTTTCTGGTAATCACTGTTTTTTTTTTCTTAATTTCCATCAGGGCTTTGATGTCAGACGATATTTGCTCTGCAGATGCAACCTTTGCTTATCCAAGCTTCACAAGATAATAAGTTCATGGTTGAAGCTGTTGACCGTGCACTTTCCACAATGGCTTCGACTCTTAATCCTGAAGTCACCCTGAAAGCGCTTCAAACGTGCATCGCGCATAAGAGCCCGAGAGTACGATCAAAGGCGATGATTTACGCCTACCAAGCGGCAGTTCGACTGGTGAGACAGTGGCTGTGCTCCATACCTGCTCCCCGTTTCGCTCGTAGTTGTTTGAGTCAACTTGCGTCTTGTTGTCCATGTGTTTCAGAACCCGGATCAGGTCAAGCTGATTGGGCTGGATGTGCTTTTAAAGATTGCCGCAACTCAGATGAAGGATCAAGTCCCGGAGGGACGGGAAGCAGCTCGGAAGCTTGCAGTGTACCTTCACTTACTATATGTTGCTATGGAAGATGCGGCTGCGGAGAGCCAGGGGACGTCCGAACCATGGGAGGGATATTGCAGCAAAAGGCTTTCGTCGACTGATGCTGCGGCGGTGCTGAAGGTTTCAGGTTAGACAACACAGAGTAGTTAATATTGCTTCTTTAGTGAAGCCATCCTGGAGAGGATTTTTGAAATTTTAGGCAGCTGGAGGCTCACCAGAGGTAAACTGGGTGTGCCTGCCTTCAAATCAGTACCTAAATTTGGCTTTGTACCTTGCAGAGTCACAGGAATCTTTCAAGCTTCAAAGGCCCACCAACGGGATTACAATTGACCGTCTGTGATTCTTAGCCAGAAGAATTCGAGCACAGTTAAAAATATCAAGCATCCAGTAGAGCAGTTTATAGCTTGTGTTTCAGCGTATCAATAAGGTGTAATAGTGTGCGTAGTATTTGTATTATTAAGCCGACTCGTTACATGTTTTCAACCATATCAGTACAGACAAAAGAGCGGATGTGAAACAAAACCAAACCATATCGTTAGATGTGTGTGCGTTGCGCCAAACCGAGACCAGGTGGCGTTTTCCATTGCAAATGTTTTGTGCTCAATGGCGTTCGGCGAAGAAATGGGCAGTCCCTCGCGCGTTCCACGGGACTCGGAGGAACAGGCACAGCCACCTGCGTGCGACCCGAACTCGTGTCCAGCGACAATTAAAGCGAGAGATTCAGAGGATGAGGATATAGAGGCTTGGGAAGAACAGTACGAGGGTGTGGACGATGAGGATTCTCCATTTAGTTCAACTTGTTCGTTCTTAGAACCAGGACAGGTGCGCCGTATGTCGTTCAACTTTCATCGCCCTGAGCCTTCCCGCGACTAATGCATTGTCGTCGCTTAACCGGCTTCTCGAGACTGCCTTACTTTTTATTGCGGCTACCGGCAATCCATCCCCCATGATTCTCCACTTCCTTAAAATAATCGACTTGTGCAAGCTCGCTCCAACATTGTGCCACCGCAGCGTCCCTCGCTCTTCGTACCCACGTGTCCCCTTTCCCCCGTTCCATCACACATCCAGGCGTTTGTGGGGACGCAGAATGTGTCATCGTCATCTTCCTCAGGCGACTCTTCTCCTCCGTTATCAGGCATGGAGCGGGACGAAGCGTGGCGGGTGACGGTGCGCATCCAGCAGTGCGACATGCGGAGAGGGTACCTGTGCGGATCCATGGAGGCTCTTAACGTTCCCTCGACTGACACCTCGGTGAGCTGGACGCGAGACGACACGAGGCAAGATGAGTTAACGGTGACAACATGTTTGTCCTCCCAACCAGCGCTAGATAAAAATATGTATATGTATTAGCTGAATGGGGGAGGTGTAAAGGAGGGGAAGGGGGGTAGGAGGGGTTGATAGCCTTGGGGACAAAAGACTGATGTGCTTTATCGCGTTTAGCGCACGGATGTGTGCCACTTCAAATCTTTGTCATTCCTTGTTTGAGCGTGTTCACGAAATTCTGCATTGCATACACTAAACCTGGAGCCACAGCCACCCATCACCCTCTGAACCCTCGTGTGGGTGCAGGTGGTAACCTTTTGGGATGGAGAGATTGTGGACGGCAAGAACTATTCTTTCTTCACAGGGCAATGGGATGCCACGTGAGTGCTGGCAGCTGCGTGTTGTCTGTTGGTGTTGATTTGTCGGTAACATGCTGATGACATGCTGATGCCATGCTGATGACATGTGTTAAGAACTGCCTGATCACTGGTCAGTGGGATGCCATGTAAGGCATGCAATATCATAGGACTGTACCATCCTCTTCTCAATAATACCCGTTTAGCGGAAGTGTGCATTGATATCATCTGCTCCGTCCCCCGCTTGACTATCTCACTCCCTTCCACCAGTCGGGAAACTGACATCAAGCACTGGTCTCGCTTCCCATGCTTCGTGCAGCTCAAGGTGTGGCATTTTCTCCTTGCCTTCATCATCATTTCATTCTTAAGTTATTTTGCTAGGGTGAGGGGCCTGGGAGTAGGGGCCGTTGTGCAATGATAATTTGACTCTGTTAGATTCTACTCTGAGCAAAAACAGCACACCTGATCTGAACACCTGGCGTCTACGAAACCGTCCATCTTTCATCTTTAATTGCTCTAGCTGCACTTATGTCTTAAGATGCTGTCATTCCTCCTCCGTGGCAGGAAGCAGCACTTAAGGACGGAGCTCGATCCGTAAACCTCTCGACATTCCCCTACATCTTCATGGTATGCATGCGACCTAACCTAACACCATCTTCGTTGCGTGATTTGTCATTCGGTCCAGATCCTCACATGACTCGTTCGCAGCAGGTTTGACCTGAGATCAGAGTCCCGTCTCTTCTCTATGTCCAGTCAGCCCCATTCCGCCCTCCTATCCCCTTCCCCTTCTTTGATGTCGTGAATACCCTCCTTTCCCCTTCCCCCCTCTCCTCCCCCTATCCCCCTCCCTCCATTCCCTTTCCTCCCCTTGTCTTCCAATCCCTGTTACCAGAGGTGATAGAACTTGCTCTTTTCCTCTCCTCAAACCCCTCACCCCCCAAATCCCCCCTCCCCATCTATTCCCCCTCTCTTCTCACCCTTCTCCCCTCTCCCCCCCCCCTTTCCCTCGCTTCTCTGCTCCACCCTCTCTTCCCCACATTGCATCCCCCCGCATTCCTGTTTGCATTGTTCCTTCCCTTGTCCCCCTTTCATCCCTCACGTCCCTCACATCCCTTCGCCTTCCTGTGTGCTCCCTACAGTGGTGGAGGGAAAAGTTATTTGTGAGCGTGGCTCCATCTCTTTCCCTCCCCTCCCCTTTCATTGCTTCCTGTGCACAGCGGTGGAAGGAGAAGTTCCTTGTGAACATGGGTCCGGACTGTGGGCTCACTATAGCAAGCTTCCACTTCCGCTCCCCACTTCATGCACTCCCACTTCCTCTCCCTCCACCTCCCTTCCTGCGTGCTCATTCCATTGCAGCGGTGGAAGGAGAAGTTCTTTGTGAACGTGGGGCCGGACTGTGGGCTCACCATAGCGGGATTCTATTATGTGTGCTTCAATCGGGAGGATGGGAGTGTCACAGGCTACTACTACGACCCCAGCAGCAGGTGATTATAAGGGGGGTGTGGGAGGGAGGGAGAGGAAAGGATTAAAAAGGGGGGTTGGAGGAGGATTGAGGGGAGGGGGGCGGGGGGGGGGAAGGGTGCATTATAGGGGAGGATTGTAATGAGTTTGACTGGAGCATGCAACTAGCCTGTGGCGTGGGTCACTATAGGAGGCTACTGCTATGTGTGCTTCAATCGGGATGAGAGGAGTGTGACACCCTACTACCACGTCCCCCAGCAGCAGGTGACTCAAATGGGGTTAGCTGCAGTAAAAAAGTTGATGTATGGACCTCCGGCTTAAATGAAGGATTCATTTGTGTGGTGCTTCGGCAGAAAATGTTGGGTTGAGACCACTTACTAAAGTGTTTGGTTCTTGTGCAAGACGTCGGATGTGACAGAATGCATGCCTCACTCTTTCTCTTCCTGCTCTCATCCCATCGCCCTGGTACCCCCTCTGCAGTCCCTTTCAAAAGCTGGAGCTTCAGCCACAGCAGCTGAGCTCATCTGGGTACACATCTGGCACATTCGCTCTCTGCTAGCCACGTCTCACGCATCCGCTCCCTGCTGACCTGCACAAAGCAGCTTTTGAGGCGCCTCTAAAGCTGGAGCTCCAGCAACAGCAGCTGTGCTCATCTGGGTACATGTCCGGCACATTCGCTCTCTGCTGACCTACACACCGCGTTGCGTTGTCAAATGTTATTGAGGTGACTTCTGAGTCGACTCAAGGGTCACATCACAGCACAGCAGCTCTTCCGCCTGGTACACGTCCGGCACATTTGCTCTCGGCTGCTGACCTGCACTAAGTGTTGTAGAGTGTTACCCTATTGGCGAATAATACCCTTGTGGTGTTTACACAGCATGCAGTGGGGGCTGCTGTTGATTTGGCTTGGGGGATCATGAATTGTAGATTCAGCTGCTACCGATCATGCCTGCAAGTGTACATAGTGTTATGACTAATGAGGTACCTACCTGTGTGCAGGCATGATCTTGCAGTTCATTCAATGCTGGCTCTGTTCTGGTGGTAAAAGTTGGATGATGAGAATTTGTACAATACTTTTCGTACCAGTGACATTAAGTACCGTTGAGGAAAGACCAAAGGCCAGAGGCTTCGACCAAGTTGCCTTCCAAGTTTTTAGACAACAATGTGCAAAAAAAGAGTGCAGAAAATATCTACTTTCTGGTGATGACTTGGGAACATAAACATGAGTTGTGAGATTGGGGCACGATGAAACAAGGCCATAAACTAGTCTAGCAAGGCGTAATGTAATCCACAAGAGCAAACAACTGTACCATATGAGTCTGCTTTCAGGTCCCCTCCCCTCATCAGCTGAATGTGTTCCTGCTGTTGCTGCTGCCAGCACCCATTAAGCCCCCGCACAACCTACCACTCTTCTCCCTAACTCCTCTCTGCATGCACGAACACCGACTCAGTAAAGCTGCTGTCGCCACTGCTGCTACCGCTGCTCCTGCTGTTACTGCTGCTGTTGCCGCCCCTGCTCGTGCTGCTACTCCCGTCCCACTGCTCCTAACTCCTAACCTACTCCCTGTCACCGTGCACGAACGCGGACTCAGCAAGGTCGATGGCGCGGCCGAGAGCAGCAGCCTTGTTGACCGTCTCCTGCCACTCCGCTGCCGGCGCACTGTCCGACACCACGCCCGCCCCCGCCTGCACATGCACCACCCACTCCTGCCGCCGCTTCAACCCCGCCCCTGCCCCACCACCCTTGCCACTGCCACCACCACTGCTGCCACTGCTGCTGCTGTAGGCAAAGAGGGTATCTGAGCGGCTAGCGGAGGAGGTGGGGAAGACCATGGTGCGGAGGGCGAGGGCGAAGTCCATGTTGCCGGCGAATGACACGTACCCGATGCCTCCCGCGTAGGGGCCTCGGCGGGTCACCTCCAACTCGTCTATCAGCTCCATAGCTCGCACCTTGGGGGAGGTAGGGGGAAGGGAGAAGGAGGTGAGGAAAGAAAAGGACACCTTAAAGACAATCTCCACTTGTCAATCAGCTCCAAAGGCGAAAAAACAAAAGGCGAAAAGAGGTGTGGAGACCACCAAAAAAAAAAAAAAAAAAAAAAAAAGAAGAAGGGTGAAAAAAAGGGCGCTTCAAGGATGCTCTCCAACTCATAATAAGTTCCATGGCTTTTGAGAAATCTCAACTCGTCTATGATCTCCATGGCTCGCACCTTTGGTGCACCGCTGACGGTGCCCACAGGGAGGGCGGCACGCAGGGCGTCCCAGCAGGTGAGGTGGGGGAGAAGTTGCCCCGTGACCTGCGCGGGTGGGTGGAGAGAGGTGGAGAGGGGTGGAGAGGGGTGGAGAGGGATGGATAGGGGAAGAAGAGACAATACGGGAAAAGTGGGCCACAAGCATCCCAGCAGGTGATGTGCGGGAGAAGCTGCCCTGTCACCTGTGGGTGGACGAGAGAGGGTTAGAGGGTGGTGGAGGGAGGTGGAGGGTGGTGGAGGGTGGTGGAGGGTGGTGGAGGGGTGGAGTGGGGACGAATCAAGGAGAAAGTGCGTGGCATGGCATGCAGGGCGTCCCAGCGGGTGAGGTGAGGGGAGCTGCCCTGCGACCTGCAGAGAAAGTGGACGGAAGGAGGGGGGACTATGGGGGTTAGATGGGAAAGAAGGGGGCAGAAAGGTTGAAAAGGCGGCACGCAGGGCGTCCCAGTAGGAGAGGTGGGGGAGAAGTTGCCTCGTGAAATGTGTGGAGTTGAAAAAGGGTTTGAATCGCAGCAAGCTGAAGCCGGCTATACCTGAGTCACTTTGAGAATTGTCAAGGAACGGTGAGAGAGGGGGAGGGAGAAGAGAGAGTGTGCGAATGCAAGGATGAGAAGGATACGGTTGAAAGCGTGAAGCCCCGGGGAGTGCAAAGCAGGAGGTGAGTGGATTGCGTGAATCCCCAGGGGCGAACAGGTTTTTGAGAATTCTCAAAAACCAACGTGAATCCCCAGGAGCGAACAGAGAACACAAGGGATGACCATCACATCACAATGCAGCAGTGGAACTTGGGGCTTCAGCTCATTGCACAGGTGAAACCTCCACAAGAATCTCCAGTGCAGTGCAGCTAATGCAATGAGGCTTCGTTCTGAGGCTTCGGAACGAAGCCATACCATGCATTATAGATAGAAACGCCTCAGAACGAAGCCTCAACTGAATCAGCCTACCGTGCAGCATGATGGTGTGGGAAGCACCAGACACCTACAGTACCGTGCAACTACGGATGATAGAAAGGCATGGCACACGTACCGTGCTGCTGATGTGCATGACATGTGAGTATCGCTCCACCTCCATCAGCTTCTCCACCACGACAGACCCCGCCACCGACACCTGCATGCATGCATGGTGTGGCATGGCATGACATGGCATGGCATGGCATGTCATGAGTGGGTGTGGGATGGGATACAATGAGAGATTGGCCTGCTTCACAGCACCTCCATGAGCTTCTCCACCACGATAGACCCCGCCACCGACACCTGCATGCATGCATGGTGCAGGTGTGGTATGGTGTGGATGTGGGATGGCATGGGATACACTGAGGTTGGGCTGCTTCACAGCACCTCCATGAGCTTCTCCACGACTACTGACCCCGCCACTGACACCTGCATGCATGGTGGGACATGGCATGGTGTGGGTGTGGGATGGCATGGCATGGGATAGACTGAGAGGTTGGGGTGTCTCAGAGCACCTCCATGAGCTTCTCCATTACCACTGACCCTGCCACTGACACCTGCATGGCATGGCATTGTGGGGGTGTGGCATGGCGTGGGATAGACTGAGAGGTTCCAGCTCAGATCCACCCTCCTCCAGGTCGCAGTACCTTCCCCACGTCGTTTCTCTCCAGGTCCACCAGCATCATGTGCTTCGCCACCTCCTTGTCATCTGCCAGCAGATCTGCCTCCAAAGCCAAGTCCTCCTCTGCCGTCTCCTCCCTGGCAAATGAGCGACAGGTTTCATGTCAACCCTCCACACCGTACCTTCCCCAGGCCTCACCTACCCCAAACCTCACCTTCCCCACGTCGTTCCGCCCCAGGTCCACGAGCATGACATGCTCTGCCACCTCCTTCACATCCGCCAGGAGATCCTCTTCCAGAGCCACGTCCTCCTCTGCCGTCTGCCCCCTCCTCCTCGTGCCTGCTAGCGGGCGATTCACCACAGTCTGTAACGTGAAAGGATCATGTCAAGAGACGGATGGATGGATACAAGAAGATTAAAGAGAGAGCAGAGGAGCAGGAGAGGGAGCAGAGGAGCAGGCGAGCATTAGGGTTCTCCTTCCCTCAGCAGCCTTGCGTCCACCGTTCCACCACTGCCCAGCATGTGAGCAACAGCCACCACCGCTCCTTCTCATCCGCCAGTAGGTCTGCCTCCAGAGCCAAGTCCTCCTCTGCCGTCTGCCCCCTCCTCCTCGTGCCCACTAGCGGGCGATTCACCACAGCCTGTTATGCAAGATGATCATGGATTAGACAACGGATAACGAGAGAGTCACAAGGGGGGAAGGAGCGGAAGGGGGTGGAAGCGAGCAGGGAGAGTGGGATGATGGATTGTCCTTTGTGCTACCAAGCAATTCGACATCAAGGAGATAGACTGACCGAGCCTGAAGCTAAGGAGCTGTAACTTACCGAGCCTGAAGCTAAGGGCCTGTAACTGACCGAGCCTGAAACTAAGGAGCTGTCACTGACCGAGCCTGAAGCTAAGGAGCTGTAGCTTACCGAGCCTGAGATTCGACAGAGGATCTCGGGACTTGAAGCCACTAGGATGGAGCCACGTGCCTGCCAGGTGGCACAGAGGAGCACAGCACAGGCAAACACATGGGTTGGTTGGCGACGTGGCAAAAGGGAGAACCGGCAAACACACAAACATGCCCGGCCAGAACACTTTTAGCCAGAGACGAAGAACAAAGAAAGAAAGAAAGAAAGAAAGAAAGAAAGAAAGAAAGAAAGAAAGAAAGAAAGAAAGAAAGAAAGAAGAAAGAAAGAAAGAAAGAAAGAAAGAAAGAAAGAAAGAAAGAAAGAAAGAAAAAGGACCTGTTCGGTTCAACCCCAAAATGTTTGGATCGAGCCGAACAGGTCCTCGATTTTTTTGCTGATGTCTATCTGGACATAGGCCAGACAAATAAGGGCTGGGGTTGACGATCCTGAGCGCCCGATACACCTCGAACGGATAAGCAAACGTCCTCCTCTCAAACCGCTGGCTGAGCACGATTTGGAAAATATCCCCCGCCAGGATGTGCTCCTTTGAGGCCAGCACCGCCGCCTCACCCTCTACCTCAAACCAGACCAGGACCCCCAAAACCAGAAACAACCCCCCCACCCCCTTTTGTTTGTGCTATTTGAAAGCACACCTGTAAGTAGGCAAGGTAAGGGCTGGGGTTGACGATCCTGAGCGCCCGATACACCTCAAAGGGGTTAGCAAAGGTTCTCCGTTCAAGCCGCTGACTGAGCACGATCTGGAAGATATCCCCTGCTAGGATGTGCTCCTTGAACTCCAGCACCGTCGCCTCACCCTCTACCCCAAACCAGACCAAACCATGACCCCG